TCCCCTTCTTTCTCCCTCTTTTTCATTTTTTCCTTCTCTTCTTCTTTCCCCTTCTCCTAGTTTTCTTTTCCTCCCCTTTTCCCTTTCTTTTCTTCTTCTCCCCCTTCTCCCCCCTTCTTTATCCTCCTCTTCATCTTTTCCTTCATCCTCCTCCACATGTGCCTTCAAGACATTTCAGATGTATGGCTACTCTGAAGCAAACCCATCACAGGGTGATCTTGGCAAGGTTTATTGTGAGGTCTGCTTTTGCCTTCCTCCAAGGCTGAGAGAGCTTGCCTTCCCCAAGATCACACAATGGGTTCCCTACATCCTGCAAACTTGTCTGCTGCCTTTCTGGTTGGCTTCTGTACTTGAAATGGTAGAAGAAACAACTTTGTCCTTTTTTTGCTTCTGGCACCCAACTGTTTTCAGGCTGGTGCAGTTGGATTCCATCTTTTGCTCTGTCCTCTTGGGAAAACGTACCTGATTTCAACTGGCAAAATTCTGTTTTAATAAAAGAGGAATGGGTGGGTGGTGAGAAGAAGAGAGAAGCCCAAAGCCTGCACACAACAGATATGTGATGTAGAACTCTAATAGTATACCATTTTTAGCCATCTTTAATAGTGAATAATAATGGAAATATTCATTAATAAAATGAGAGAAGTTGACATTTTTTCCTTTTGGTTAGTGAGATTTTCCATCATTACATAATTTCAAAAGTGGTGAAGTCAAATGGCCATATTTGAATGAATATAAAAGATGCCAGACAGCTTGTCCAGCCCTGAGGACTTGGCCAGCCTAGAATGTGCTTTCTTTACGTGTTTACAAGTAGCTGCTGTGACTCACCCTATTCAACTTAGATTTAGAAGGAACAGAGGATCCCATGAAGAAGACATTTCCCCCCAAAATTTCCACACCATGACTGGACTCAGTCTGGCTGATGTCATTTTCAGTCCTCTCCCATGCCCTGATATAAAGGCAAGATAGATCCTTGCACTAATATAAAGTATCAAATCAACTCCAGTTTTACATTAGGAAGAACATGGGAGAAATGGGAAGCAACACGAAAGAAATAAACAACTGTTTTTAATCAAAATAATTTATTAGACAAACTTATTATTGGGAGATGGGTTATGACCTGTTAGGATTATAACCTATCGAGTAGCAGAGTTTCGGAAGTATTCCTTTAGTTTATTGGATAATGGGTGATCACTGGGCACGTACATATCTTGTTCGTATTTGATGCTCTCAGCAGACAAAGATTCATGTAGTTTTCTTTAAAAATAACATGTTTGTTTTACTCACAACGTCATGTATTTAAATATACAGGCAC